GGAACATATTGAATTGCTACAGAATGAAGCATAAACATCAACACTATAACAAGTTTAGCATCGTTTTGAAGCTTTCGGCACCTTAGCAGAAATTGTAGTTACGAATTGACCTCTTAATTAATCGGTTTTCGTTAAGCTGATCATTTTTCATTTTAACATCACAACTATTCATTCATGTACCTAATTGTAAGCATTTATTTCTTTCGATGGTCAGCATGTTCCTGATTTCATCTTATGGTTCTGTTCGTTTGATAATCAGAATCATCTCACGTTGTTGTTAAGTGTCTTCTCCATCAGCACCACATCTCACCATAAGAACTGACAATACCGATAAGCCAGTGTACTATGTGATAATGAATGTTCGTTACAGCGATTCACGAATCTCTTAAAACCATAAGATCGACTTTAAGAGATTGCAATATGGAGTGCACCAATAGATTTATTCAGAAACGAACGCAATACATAAAGAACAATGAGTGATAGTCAAACTGTTTTGCAAAATATGAACTCGGCAGCAGGCTGTTGTTGCCTTTTAGAATGTAACAACACCGAATATACATGGCCATACGTTTTGTGTGGTTACAATTACAACATAAACAAAAATGTTTCGAATCATATATTTTAATCGTTTTTTATCGACTGTCCAGCACTGTGTTGACCTAAAACATTACCAAAGCTGAATATTTTCACATTTACACGAGACATGTTGCTTACTTGAGGGTCGACGACGCATTCTTCTGCATAATAACAGCAATTCGTATTTTCATCATGCATTTATGATTTGTGTTTCCCAATGACACAAGCAATTGCATTCATCCAAGGAACGTAAGTTGAATTCAATGTAATTGAATATATAACTCACCAATCAGATAATGAAGTCCAACTGCTTTCATCCGATGACCTTCTGAAGCGTTTCCTTATAACTTTAACGTCCGTTTCAGCCTGGAATCGGATATTGAAATGATGCAAATTGTATAAGTTTCGAACGAAGTGTCGTTCGTTACAATGAACAGCGGCAACGAGAGTAAATCATTTGTATGCGGCTAAACAAAAATCTATAAACTCCCAAAATACGCTTTTTGAGTTGACGCTTTTCGATGCAACGTCATTTTTTATGCTTTTCGCTTACACATTTGTTCTTAAATTTGTTGAGTCACGCGAACATTGGGCATTCATCATGCGATCGCGCAAATTTGCACGTCGTTCTGCAAGGTTTCGAGAACAGCTTTTCATGATCCTACTCGCAGAAGCACTAGAACTCTACCGAAAGGACTGCGATGGAAATTTTCAAACGGTTCCAGTCGTTGCGAAATCGACTCACTTCAGTCAAATTTTCATGATCCTAACGAAATCGAAATCGAAGGATACTTAACGTTGAAATAGGTAAACGCTTAGATTGTTACCTCGCTGGACGGCTCTCTTTCAATTGATTGAACAGACATCAATGTTAAATCGACATTTGACTGCTGAAACGAAATTCAACGTCGAAAGGTCGTGTATTGCGTTTTGGTCAAGTGGATGTTTGAGCAATGCATCATGATGAATGACGTCTCTATTCCAGATGAACTCTTTTGGTCAACCAAATTAGAACAGTTTAGCTGGACAACAATTTGTTTCGTTTATGACACTCTGTTAACGTAGCAATTGTGAAGGAAACAAAACAATCATTTAACTTTTCCTGCTAA